CTACTTAAGGGGGATTATAGACTTTCAGTTATTTCTGTTTCTTTACCACTTGCCAGCCCCAAACCCTAACCCCAACAGACATCATGTTCAGGCGCAATTCCGTGGCTTTCAGCACAAGGTGGATGCTGCGCAGATGGAGAGCAGGCTACCAAGGGCTTGCTTGATTGATTGCTGTGAGAGTGTCCAGCAATTTGGAACTTACGAAGGATAAGCTTTCAGGTTCCAGTCTTGAAATTACAGTATTGCCTGTTCTAAAATGATTTTTCAGCTGCCCATCCGAATGTTCTTCATGTGATTGCAGGCTTACAGAGCGCCTACGAGAACAGACCTTCTCCTCCGTGGAGCCAACAAGGAGGCCTCACAGTCTTTGACTCTTTAGTCTTTTGCAGCTCCGACTCTCAGAGTTCTTCGTCTCCATGCGTTTGTGCTGCCAGGCGGCAAAAGGCAGCCAAAGACGCAGCCTAAGAGTCTCAAAAATTCAAAGCCTCAGCTTTGCTTCGACGCTGACGGTTGCTTCGCCCAAGGCTCCTATGGCAGGCCTGAAGCTTTTGAGATTTTTTGCAATCAGCTGGTGCCATGCCTCTGAACCATTGTTAGTTCTGTGCAGGAGGACGGACTTCGTGGAATGGCGAAGGAAACATTTTTCATGGGATGTCTCGGCATGATGTGGGCATCTGCATTTCTCTACACGGATCCCATTCTTAGTGGCTAGCAAGGGGAATCCAGCTCTGAGAAATGTTCAGCAGTCTCAGGTGACGAGACAGGCGCGATGTGTAGAGCGAGGCTTTTCTTGCATTGTTAAGTTTCTCTTCGAACAAAAGAGTACTTTCTGTTCAAAAGAGGTGAAGAAAGGATTCCAGTGAGCACCATGTGGCTCAATTATCGCAGACTTCCAGATAACCTTGTTGGACTCAGTCAAGCAGTCCGTGCAATTGGGATAGCAGTGCGAGCAATTAAGGAGACAGCCATGCTCAGCTAGCAGCTACAACGCCCGTACTCAGATTTTCCATCTCGTTGGAGCGAGAGCATTGTAACCGTGGTGGGAATCATGATTGCAAGTGTGTCCATGGCTGTGACTGTGACTGTGATGTTGGTTGTGCCAGCCACTGTCCTGCACGAAGCTGACATAGAACCTCCCCAAAAAGGCTCCTGCAAAGACCAATGTTCGTTTCAACGTTCCTTGTTAGGTTCCATGTTAGTTTGGTAGTAAATTTGGTAGTAATATCAAAAACGACAAGAAGAACAATAACAAGAATCAGAATATCGATAGTAATATTAAGAACTGGTTCCGAGGAGCCTACGGAGGCCAATGCGGCTTTCCGATACACAGCGGCTATGTGCCTTGGCCCAGCTGGGTGGGGACGTTCCGCATAGTCAAGACAAGGGTATGTGAGCCGTAGTCTAAACACCTTAAAGGGGGT